AGAAGCACCTTGCTGCTGGGTGACTACATCATCCATCTTCATCCAAATTAGCCAACAACTGCAGCAGGAAGTAGGGGAGCGTTGAGCAGCGTTTGATACAGGAGATGTGACTGAAGAGGGGGACAAAAGAATCCTTTCCTCCTCCATACCCAGATAATCTGAAGACCTTTTTAAGCTGTGTCAGAGTGCCATACAACCTGTCCTTTAGGGAACACATTAGAGCTGAGTATGTTGAACAGTTGTCAACTGCCTTCCTCAGGCACCAGTGCTGGGATTGGCCGATGCCCACCTGGTGAATGTTCTCTTGGAGGTACACCAGGCAGTGCAGACAAGCTCTCACTGAGCTACTCCTGGCTCTAATGCAGTTTGGGGGACTAAGTAATCAGTATCTACCCTATATGAGAGAGAGAGAGAGAGAGAGAGAGAGAATTTGGTTTGCTCTTTAGACACTTACCTGCAGCTCTGCCTCCAGGCCCAGGCGGCGAATGAAGGGATCGGTGACATGGTAGTGTCGCTCAAAGCCCAGTGCACCTCTCTCCTGCACGAAGCAAACAAGCATCACACTGACTACAGCAAACAAAACACTCCTTCTTCCCTTTAAAACAAGATTCTGAAAGTTTAAAAATCAAGCGGGGACTTTGCCAGGTGTTGGGGTGTCCATAGCATCAGGGAACTGTACTGTAGTGAGGAGACACAGAATCATAGAATCATGAGATGGTTTGGGTTGGAAGGAGCTTAAAGATCATCCAGTTTCAACCCCTGCCATGGGCAGGGACACCTTCCACTAGCCCAAGTTGCTCCAAGTTCCATCCAACCTTGTATGGAAAACTCCCAGGGATGGAGCAACCACAGCTTCTCTGGGCAACCTGTGCCAGTGCCTCAGCACCTCACAGGGAACAATTTATCCCAAATACCCCATCTAACCCTGGCCTTCTTCAGCTTCAGGCCATTTCCCTTTGTCCTATCACTACATGCCCTTGTGAAAAGTCTCTCTCCAGCCTTCTTCCAAGCCATTATTTGAGCATCTCCAGGTAGACAGTTCATAATCTTTGCCCTGAACTGGTTAAAAATGATGTTTAGCTCAGTGTCAGGCTCCAGCTGGGGAGCCAAGCCCAGGACTGAGAGGCTCACACTGAGACAGAGGAAGTTGCTTACTTTGGGCCTGAAACAGAAGATATGGAAGATCTTGGAAATGCCTGTCATTATCCCTTGGTGAGGATTCCAGCAGGAGCTCAATCCTGAGGACAGCAGGACTGGACCAGAGCTGCCCAGGAGAGCATTACAGAGCCTGTTCCGAGGCACCAGCACCACAGGGCAAAGCACCAGGGCAGGTAACCAAAGCATCCTTTAGGGATAGGCTATTTCCTCAGCAGTGGAGCAGCAGTGTGGAGCTGCAGTACCACAGCACAGGCTGTTCTACAGGGAAGGGAACAGCTGCCACAGAACTGCGTCAGTACAAATGAAGGTGAAGAAAAGCAGGACAGTTGTTTCCCCTGTGATCTCACTGGGCTCACAGATGCACCAGCAGATGGCTTCGATGAAAGAAGGCCAACTGCAGAGACAGGCATGAAGGAAAGGGAATGCAAGTCATATTTTGGGGGGAACATCGAAGTGTCCAAGGAGATTCCTTCCTAGGACCTGACCCAGCCTTGGTTCCATCCCATGCCATGCTGGAGTCAACTTAAGCCTTGGTTATCATCATTTAGAGATGGGAACACTAATGTCAAAAATTGTAACTTCATCCTTTGTTATCAGCACCTAGAGATGAGAACACTAATGTCAAAATCACACTGATGGTGCTCAAAAAAAAAAAAATCACACTGATGGTGCTAGAACACGTTAGCAGTCCCAGAACAGACACAAAGAACTGCTGAATGCCCTGGCCAGCCCAACGTTCAGTAATGAACTCCACACACCAAAAGCTATTTGAAAACAAACTGGAGCCAGACATAAAAGGACTGGAGGAAAAACAAACCAGGCTTTTTGTGGGAACTTCCATGACAAACTTCAAACCCCTTGACACATTTTTATGGAGAGCATTCCTAAGGCACAGCTAAGCCCAGTGCAAGGTGCTACAGGTCAAACCCCTGTGCTGTTCCAGCCTTGGTGGCTTTGTGAGGACTATGGGGTAGGATATTGCTTTCTTACAAGGAACTGTCAGACTTTACAATCTTCCCAAGGTCACATATCAAAGTCTGACAGAACAGACAGTGTGGAACAGTCCCAGGCAAAGGCTCTAACCACAAAACCAGCCCTTCCTCGTTAGGGCAGCAGAACAAATCTTTGCACATGGATTAAATTACAAGCTTCTAACACAAAGTTTGGTACCAAACTGCAAAGTGAACACTCAAGCTCCTTTTCCTCATTCTGGCCACTCACAGACCCCTTTCCTGCATGCTGATTACTAGCAAAGCTGCAAATGATTTCAGGCCTCTGAATCCAAGCAATAATTGCCTATTGTGTGTGCTGCAGCCAGTCCTTTCACGTTGATATTTCACAAATGCAGCCATCAGATGACTGATCCGAGCACTGCACAAGTTTGTTCCCCACACAAAGGAAGCAACACAGCACTCTCTAAAGAAAGGAGACAGAGAGAGACTGCAACAGAGATCATTAGCTTTACTACAGTCAGAAAATACCTCTGAAGGCAAGATCACACAGAGAGAACACAAAAAGAAGAGAGGAAAGCTGGCTGAGAAGCCTTTATGGTACCCAAACACAAGTAGCTATATTTCTTCTCTTCGGTGTTGCACTGAAAAGAACAGACCTGCTGATGTCAAACCAGCACACTGAGCTCCTGACAGGGAGAGGAACTGTATTCTTGTCATGCCACACTTCATCCCAGCTCTTCATTAAGGACAGTGATGGGTCCTATGTGTTTGTTCTCTTAAGCTTCTTAAAGAGCTTATCAATATGTCAGTAGCAGAGATCTTGCCCAAAGGTAACACCAGGAATATTTCCCAGAACAGCACAAGCACCCATTCTCCATCTCTCTCCACCCAACACCAGCAAACAGGTGGTTCACACGTACCTTGATCTGTCTGTGGATGATGTCTCTGGTAATGTTGGCTTTTGCCATCTTCTTGCAATGGGGCAGACGAAAAGAAGCTATGGGAAGAACTGCTGTGCATCCAAGCATGCCAACCGAGCCAAGATCCACTCTGCAGGCATTCAGTTACCTGCAGGACATTACAGGGAGGGAACAGAGCAGGCACACAACATGTTAGGCCATTCATAAACAGTGTCAGGCTTTAACTGACAAAAATAACAGTGGTTAAGAACTGAAAAGTTTGCTATGAAGGCTCCTGAAGAAGCTCAAGGATGGAAGGAATGATGTAAGACTGAGTATCTGACTTGAGACCATCTCCAGTTTGTGGAGAAAATCATGATGAACAGAGTTACAGGACTCTATAACCTGGAAAATCCACATTCTTATGCCAGCAAAGACCCTGTGAGTCCAGGGCAGTGTCCTGTCCCACAGCTTGCCTCATATCATTCCATGTCCACTCATGTTCAACTTCACACCTCCCTAACTCTACAACCAGCAAGACTTCTGATATGAATAAATAAGGTCTCTTCTCTCTCATTTACTACACTGGATTATCAGCAAAAAAGAAATGAAATATCCAGAAGGGCATAAACAAACCTTGGAAATCACAACAGCCAAGCATCAGGTGATGCTACTGACTGACTACCCAATTACCTCAGCAACAGGAAAGGGGTGACCAGTGCCAGTGGAATTTCCAGGAGAAATTAAGAGTTTTGCACACTCTTAATGGAATTTGAGGTATGAACTTAAATTACCTAAGTCCCAAGGAATTAGCTACACCTGCTAAAAACCACTGAAATGGCAGAGTGGTGATCATAAAACCTGCTCTGGACAGGCTGCCTAGCACAGGAGGAGTTAGTCCCTGAGAAATGCTGTAATTCTCCTCATTTCCATACCACAGACTCTCCTATTTTGATATTTCAACAGCTCTCTTTAAAAAACAGAAGAAGAAAACTAAAATTTTAACCACCCATTTTGTCCTCTGTAACACACTAGTTTGAAATCCTCTTTAAAAACATCCCCAAGCAGAACAAGCCAAAATTTTCCTCTTTTAAATGAGGAAATGCTGATTCATTGAAACAAGAACATTTCACAGTAATGCTGCAACAAACAGGAGTTCTGACAGACCCTGCCTGGTTCTTTGCTGCTTCATCTGCCAGGCTGCTGCCACAGGAAACTTCCACCAGTCACCCAGTCCATCCCCCTGCCATGGGCAGGGACACCTTCCACTAGCCCAGGTTGCTCCAAGCCCCATCCAACCTGGCCTGGAACAATTCCAGGGATGGAGCAGCCATAGCAGCTCTGGGCAAAGTTAAGTAACAGTTAGAATCATAGAATCAGCTGGGTTGGAAAAGATCTCCAAGATCATCAAGTCCAACCCTACTGTGGTTACTAGACCATGGCACTGAGT